GTGAACATTTAGGACATGCTACATTAATCAAACATTCTCACTGCTACTTTTGTTTCTGTCCCTTTAGGTTGCTCTTTTAAAAAAATTTTTTTAATTTATTTTTTATTTTATTTTCTATCACCATGTATCCCCCTGTACACCTTTCCACCTCCACCCACCCCCTCTCCCCTTCCATAATCACCACACTATTGTTTGTGTCCATGAATATCTTTCTTTCCCCCTGATTTTTGCTCAACACTACCACATTCCTCTTAGCCCTCCCCGTCACACACACACCAGAGCTGTCTGCCTTCTTTCTATCTGTGAGTCTGTCTTTATTTTGCTTGTTAGTTAAGTTTGTTAATTAAATTCCACAAATGAGTGAAATCATATGGTACTTGTCTTTCTCTGACTGCCTTATTTCACTTAGCATAATGTTTCTTTTAATAGCTCTTCGTTTCCAGATTTCTACATGTCATTTTTTAAGTCCAAATTGTAACGTTACCATTAATACTCTCCTTTAGCTGGAAAGGGAGTTCTTGGCATGTATTGACATTTGTAAGATTTACTTGTATCCTCTTTACAAATTCTTGATAAGAAAGAATACTGATTACTTCTTCTGGAATTATTTATAAAAGTTGAAAACACACAAGATTCACTAAAAGCTAGTCTGCCTTGGCAGAATCAGGGGAGACACAAAAGGAAGAGTAATAAGAGAAAAAAAAATCTGATACAACTGATACAAATGGAATTCATATTTCAAAAGCAATTTATAACCATTTTATTTGCTTATATATCAATAACTATGAATATTTATCAGACATAAAATACTTTCAAAATATAATTATTATTCCCAATTTATGGTATTTTAATGAAATCATTCCTATAATTAGTTTGTGATAAAAGATTTTAAAAGCTCATCTTGGCAAAAACAACATAAACTCATTAAAGCCATTCCCACTATTTATTCATTTTATTTACCTCATTTCTCTACTTGAGGTCTGAATGATCAAGCACATTAAACAACATTTAGCATCAGTTTTTAATGGTCCATCCCAACCTCCATTATCTGTATATCAATGGAGGGTTCATTGGTATAATCTGAACAGAAAATATATAATCAAATTTAAAACTTCCTTTTTGTTCTTCTAAGTCAAATATTTTCTGTTTAAGTATCTTTTAAGCGTTAAAATGCCTCATCCTATCCCACCCTGGCCTCTGAGATTAACCAAAGAATTTATATGCATATTTGCATAAGCAATGGACTCAGATAATAGTGTGGTGGAACCCTTGTGGTGCAGGGGCTGGGAGGATGGGGAAGAGAGAGAATTGGGGAACATCTGTAAGACTGTCAACAAAATAAATAAGTAAGTAAATAAGTAAATAAATCAAAGTTGGAATTTCTAAAAACCAAAAGGAAGTTTTGTGGGTGTTTTTCTCCTGTGATACTGTGTTTTCTGTTTTTGTTTTTCTGTGACAGCCGAGAATTCTAAGTTTTGAGAGTTCTCTCACTTGAACCAATCATCTTCTAAGTAGTAATATAATAACCAGATGCCTGGTGCATGGATGGATGTACCTGTGGGGTCCCTTAGCCTGGCCTGAGGGGATCAGGCTAAAACTGGCTCTGACATCCCCTGAGGGGTTCCAGATTGTGAGAGGGCAGTTCTTGGTTGATGCATCCCAGAATCCAGCTCCCTGATTCCTGGTTCCAGGTGAGTCACCTGAGAAACACAAATGCCAATTCACTGCTGCTTGGAAGCTCCTGTGCTGAACATCTGCCCCCTGGTGGTCATTGTGGATCATAGATACTGGTCAGCCAGTCACTTAGGCTTTTATATATATAGACTAGAGGTTTGGTGCATAAATTCAAGTACCAGTGGGGTCTCTCAGCCGGGCCTGTGGGGATCAAGCCAAAACTGGCTCGCCAACATCCCCGAGGGGTTCTGGATTGCGAGAGGGTACAGGCCAGGCCCAGGGCCCCATGAGTACATGATCAGAGCCGAGGAGGGACTTTGAGAAGGCTTCAGGGCATGCCTGGTCTATATTATCCAACCTAATCAGCCAGACCCCAGCAACAAGCTAACCTACTGGTTGGAGTGTCTCCTCCTGGTGGTCAGTGCACATTACAGCTACTGGTCAAACAATTGAACAATCAGACACTTATTAGGCTTTTATTATATAAGATAATAACAATCTTTGTTTTGTTTTTTCTCACCCCTTTGCCTCTTCCCTTAATGTAATGCCCTATATTTTAATAGAGCAGTTTGTATGTGCATCCTTGTATTGAGGATTATGCATATAGTATTATTATTACACTAGAGGGCTGGTGCATTAAATTTGTGCACTTGTGGGGGGGAGGCGAGTGTCCCTCATCCAAACCTGCACCCTCTCCAGTCTGGGACCCATTGGGGGATGTCTCATAGCCAGTTTTGGCTGATCCTCTGAACCACTTTCCTACCTGCCTGCCTGATTGCCCCTAACCACTCTGCCTAACAGGCTGATCACCCCCTAACCACTGCCCTGCCAGCCTGATTAATGCCTAACCACTCCACTGCTGCCATGATTGACAACTTACTCCTCCCCTGCCAATCCGATCACCCCAACTGACCTCCCCTGCTGACCTGTTTACCCCCAACTATCCTCCCCTGTAGGCTTGGTTCCCCACAACTGCCCTCCCCTGCAGGCCCGATTGCCCCCAGCTGCCCTCCCCTGCCAGCAACCTTGTGACAATGTGGGGGCATCCATCTTGTGATAGTCATCTTGTGGTGATGTGGGGGTGGCCATCTTGTGAAGCAAGGGTGTGCTGGTCAATTTGCATGTTAACTCTTTATTATATAGGATACAAGTTAAGCTCATGAGTATCACCAACAAGCTTTTTATTTTTCTCATATCAACTTCCGTTTTTTGGCTTCACCTTTGGACAAGTACTCAAATTCTGTTTGTAAATCTTATTTGTAAAGTATTAGTGATAATAATTCTTATAAGGTTGCTCTTAGGAGTAAATAAATCTTCTTATATCCTGGCATATAGCAAGTGCTAGTTCATTGTAAATTTTATATGCACAGTCCTCAATACAAGGATGCCCATACAAACTGCTCTATAAGAGTGTAGGCATTAGGGAAGAGGCAGAGTAAAGGGTGAGAGAAGACAAGTGCAGTGAAGATGGAGGTGAGGCAGAGGTTGGAGGAAAGGCAAATGAGAGTGAGTTAACTTCAAAAATGCTGATTTCTTCCTTGAAAATTGTTATGACCTCACCTAAAACCACTCTTTTTAATATATATAAAACTTCTCCCTCCGACCTTTGACCTGTGTAAAGCCAGAAGTTTAAAATCAAGGTGCTGTGGAGCTGCACTGCCTTTAGGTTTTGGGGGAGACTCTCTTCCTTGAATCATCTAGTTTCCATATCATCACATGCCCCTTGGCTTTTGTCTGCATTGCTGTAACCTCCACCTCCATAATCACTTTGCATCCTCTTCCTTCTGTGTGATCTCTGTGTGTCCTTCCTAAGGACAACTGTCACTGGAGATGGGGCCCACCTGAAACAATCAGGATGACCTCATCTCCAGATCCTCGACTTAATTACATTTTCAAAGACTTTTCTTTTCCCCAAATGTTATTACATTTACTATTCCAGGGATTTGGACTGGAACATATCTTTTTGGGGACCATGTAATCTCCTACATATTTACCTTGGTAATGTGATGGCTATGCTTCTAAATAATTGTGAAATTGTCATTCTTCATCAATCTTGATGTTACTTAATCTACTTCCTTTATTCTGAAAGCTACATGTTATCAGGAAATCTTTCCTGGCCACTTGAGTTTACATCAGATTCCTATTTTTCATACGTCATATTTTTCCTATGTCAATATTGTCTGTGTCACTTACTTTGGTTCTTGGTTATACTATCTTAAGATTTGAGGTGTTTCAAGAAAAGTTCTATGCTTTTACCCATCCTTGATATTCTGGTTCAATTCAGCTTTGGAAGGGTTGGTATTTTTTTTTAATATATTTTATTGATTTTTTTACAAAGAGGAAGAGAGAGGAATAGAGAGTTAGAAACATCGATGAGAGAGAATCATCGATCAGCTGCCTCTTGCACACCGCCTACTGGGGATGTGTCGGCAACAAAGGTACATGACCTTGATCTGAATCGAACCTGGGACCTTTCAGTCTGCAGGCCGACACTCTATCCATTGATCCAAACCAGTTTCGGCCTGGTGTTGGTATTTTTAAACTTTTCTAAGTAATTTTAAAAGTATAAGTATGATATAGCAACACTGCCTTATGCAATAATTTTTAAAAGTTTGGTATCAAAATTATATCTCAGAATCTAATGCAAAACTATAGAATCTGTCCCAGAAAAAAAAATGTACATATGTGCACACAAACAAAATAATGCATTCAATATGTAATATGTGTTCACCCACATCCATGTACATATTTTTCACAGATGTTCTAATTTTAGAGAGGCCTGGACAATGAGTTTATTTTGTGAATTGTTGCTTATATCAAAACATTTTAAGGTAAAACTCACAAATTAAATTAATTTTTCTTGGATCAACTTTGCATTTTTAGGATTCAGTTACTTGTGGGTTAAATCATGCCCCTTTATATGTAAGAATGTCTGACTATAACACACACCACTAGTGTTATCAGTGTCCCGAGGCCTTAGCCATACACTGGGCTCTACCATATTTTCACTCCCGATAACAATATCAATGCTCCTACTGAAAGGTAGTTTCTTTTGACAGTTTTTATAAAATTGGAATTCTATGTTAGCCGCCTATGATAGGATCTATGATGCTCATAAAAACAGTTTTCTTATTTCATCTTCAAAGAGGTGACTGTTTTTTGAGTGACTGACAGAGAGCAAGATTCTACATCATGTGGCAGAAACTACCGACCTCATCATGGCCCATTTCCTTTCAAATTGTCCAGGAAAATAAATGATGAAAATATGTGAAGGAAATGTTTCAGAAACAATCTTTCATGTTTCTAACCACATTACACAACACATGGAAAGGCTAATACTGTATTTTATCTCAGTTAGTGTAACTCACAGCCATGCTTTCAACAGAGGGGGAAAAAAAAAAAAAGATTTCAATGCAGGTCTTGGTTTAATTTGGAACTGATTGCTCATTAATCTTTGGAATAGGTATGCAAGCTGTCTTCCAAATGAAGGGGAGGTTGTTGGCTGCTTACCCTAAACCCCACTGTGCTGTTTTCAATTTGTTTTTTCGTATGATATTTAGTCTTTCATTCAGTGTTTAATACTAAACATTAATGGGGAAAATATTGCTTAATGAGCTGTTGTGCTGGGCAGAATGCAGTCAAACACGCCTCCTTTGCAAGAGCTTGCCAGCTTGTGCCAGTATTTAGATAGTGTCATTAATCATGAAACATTCCATTCTCCTCTGTCCTGGAAGACAAGAGTTTCCTGATGTCATGGAAACGGGCCCTTTTAGAACTAGGTACGGATGAAGGCATAGGATGCCTAAGTACAAGACATCAGACAGTTCAATTACTGCAAGGCAGATACCCCCGTTGTGGTTCTGAGCTCTTCTGCTGTGGATTTTATGAGCTCCAAAGAGAGAAAAATTCGGGGTTAACAATTTATCCTGCAAATGCATAGGGTTTGGAGATTCTGCCATGGGACAAGACCAGCTAGATAATCAGATACCTGATAGGTCAATTCCAAAGGCAATGAGCATTAAAGTAAGCCTTGCTTGTCCCTGGCAGACTGCTTTGCTTCACAGGTTTTTATGGGCCTTTGTGCCATCAAGGTGATCTGCAGGACCTCTGCAGGCAGAGTGTGCGGTGCACAGCACCCGGTGGGATCTGGCCTGACGTTATCTCCCATGTAGTATTCTGCAAAAAGAATTAAATGTATTTAGTTCATGTTCAGATTACTGATTGCCCCCCATTAACAGAAGAGAAGATCCAAGGACTTTCAGGGCAATTATAAATTGCAAATTAAATGTGAGAGAGGGGAAAAATCATTATGTATGTATTTAATACAAATTCAAGGAAGTCTTTGTCAATGTCAGTTTATTACTTTAGTCTTTAAAGTTTAAGAAGTTAAAGGAAAAAGGGCTAAAAATAAATAACAGTATTGAGCATAAGGAAAGGACGTAAAGAGGGCTAGAGCCACAGACATCCCTGAAGCACACGACTGTTCGGGTCACAGTGCTCCCTCCATGAGCCCTGGCAGTCAGAAGGGGACGAGGCCTCCTTGCTTTTTGTCGTGAACCTATCTGGATTGCTACCTTGGCAGCAAAGGACAATCCGGGTAATAGGGAATATGTGTCAATCATCAAAGTTTTACTTAGCGTAACCCCTTGTCAGTAAAACACGGAAGTGTAGATTCTGTTTTCCCAGGGCTGTCGCTGAACACTCAAAAGAGAAGTCCAGAGTCTGTCAATGCTAGTCACCCTGGCCTTGCAGGAGATTTTCCCAGTGGCCGGCAAAGCCAGAGAAATATTTAGCACAACTGATATAATTGAGGATGTCATTCTGTTGTGCAAATTTGGATTCAAAGGCTCTTTAGTCACATCCCGATCATAACTTGTTGTGGGGAAGGGAACTGAACTGGCTTGCATGTTGTCTGTTTCTCTCCTAGTGCCTCGCAAATGTCTGAATATATGATATTCACACATTAAGAGGATTCATAGACACTTAAAATCTAGGGCCAAAAGGACCTTAGGGATTCTCCAGACTGACTCATTTTTATTTTTCAGATATGGAAATTAAGACTCAGAAGCTCAAGCGGTTTAGCAAAGGACACATTGCTAATTAGAAATAAGCCTGAGATTTTAATGGTTTCCTCTGAATTTTTCTCCGTAGACGGTCAGTTTGATCGTCATCAGGCTTTTACCCAAATTATCACCAGGAATGTGCATAACCCAATTAATTGTGAATCCACCTTGATAGATGCAATCAAATGTACTGATTGGCTATAATAATGAGCAATCTCTCATATAAAACGTACTAAGTACTGGATTTGGTTTCAGGGATTTACATATATTAACTTATCTAATCCTTATAGGCCTTAGGGGAATGCAGTATTGTGACTTCTTTTTTTCAGGATACCGAACACTGACAACAGAAATAACCCATCCAAGTTCCCAGAGCTTACCTGCTCAGCCAGCTTTTCCAACACACAGTGCTGCTCCCCAGTGGCTGGGTCCTCAGAGGTTCCAGCAGCAAACTGCTTCCAGAAACAGATCATTCCCCATGAACCCTTATTTGTTGTTATGTCTGGGTCACCAGACAAGCTTTTCTTTATTTAAAGTAGTTTCACTTCAGAGATTTCGGAGCCATGCGGGCCCTTGGAAGTTTGTTGGCACCATTTTATCCATTTTATTGTTCCAATAAGGCAATTTGCCTTAGTTTCCTATTATGGGTTAGAGTTCTGGTCCCATCCATCCTAAAAGTTTTAAAATTCCTTCTAGAGATAGATTGACCTCCCCTTGAATGCCCTTCCCCTCATACCAACAGCAGTGCAAACCAAGAATTTTGGAGTGTGGCAAGACAAAAATATTTTCTCCCACCTAACTCACTCACATTCTAAGTAAATTCATATCCCCCGCTAAGTTTATATAATGTAATACCCTCAGAGCAAATACCTGCTTTGAGGTGACTATCTTCTCAGCCAATGATGGTAAATAGACTAACATAAGCATGGAATTACCTACAGTGTACCATTTTAATTCTGCTTAAATCCCCAGTCTTATGCATATAAACATTTTTATACTATAATATTTATTTTTAGTATTAGACCAGCTAATTTTAGTTAGATCAGATAATATCCCAATAGCTTATGCTTAAATCTAGTGTTTATTTGGGGTAGAATATTTCCAAAGCAAGGTCAAGCATTAGCTATTGTTTCTAAATTTTGTCTTTTGAAGTTTTTAAAATGTTGTTCTATTGTGCCTTGTTTTTATGATATATAAAATAGGATTAGATAGAATATGGCAATTTGTCTTATTAGGAATAATGGATTCCATAATTTAGAACATATCTATTCATTTGTTCCTTCACTTATTATTCACGCATTCATTCTTCATTTTTTCTCATGCCTATATCTAAACAATTATGTTGTGGAGAAAATTTTTAAAAATTGTAAAATTATTAAAAGGAAGAAAAACAAGGATTATGTATTAAAAGTGTGGAGTGCACGATAGGAAGGGAAATTTAAGAGCAGCTGCTCATATTGAGCTTGATTATTAGCTCTGAGTTTTCTGAAGGCCAGTTTTTTAAAAAGAAAGGGCAATGGGTTGGGTGGTTTTCATTGTCTAATAAAGGGAAACATAGCAGCACATTAGAAAGCACACACTTCTCTTTAATGTTGAATTCTGGGAGGAATTTCACATGAGCTTTTAAGAGAATCTTTAAAGAACACAGTAGATGTTGTCCTTAATGGAATCTTAAAAAAAAAAAAAATACAGAGACTTCTAAGAATGGCTGTTTTATTCCAAAAGCTAAAAGCATAATTATTGTCAAAGGTCCTCAAAGCTATCTTTAATGCCAGAGTCATGCAGCCCGGATATGTAGTGCTCTGGTGATCTCACTAGATAAAGAGATCAAGCTTAGAGAAAATGTAGTTTATATCATAATTGGATTTCTTGCTCTACAATGATTTAATAAATCAATTAGGTATCAAGTGTTCAATATGTCCCCTGAGCCAGCTGAGGTACTTCGAGGTCAGACTCAAAGTATAAGTTTTTTAAAATTATTCTTATTTTCAAGTATATTGCATTTTAGTTGGAAAAATAAACTTACTGAAATTGAAGGGCACTGGAAATATACAGCTAAATTATATTTTCTGTGTCCTAGTCTGTATTATGTACAGTTTGCCAGGGATTGGCAAACTTTTTCTGTAAAGGCCTAGATGGCAAATTTTTTAGGCTTCGCTGGACACATTAGGCTTCTGTGGCAGCTACTTATTCCTGCCAATGTAGCAAGAAAGCAGCCATAGACAATAATAAACACATGGGCATGGCTGGATCTGGTGTGCTGGCAGAGTTTGTACACCTCTGTTATTGAACACATTATTCAACTGCATTCTAAACCACGGGACACTGACTATGGATGACTTCGAATTTAAGGGAAGAAATATACTTAAGTAAGGAGATAGTTATTAAAGGCTTTGAAGAAGACAGTTTTTTTAAATATATTTTATTGATTTTTAACAGAGAGAAAGGGAGAGAGATAGAGAGCTAGAAAAGTCCATGAGAGAGAAACATCTACCAGCTGCCTCTTGCACAACCCCTACCGGGGATGTACCCGCAACCAAGGTACACGCCCTTGACTGGAATTGAACCTGGGACCTTTCAGTCTGCAGATGGATGCTCTACCACTGAGCCAAACTGGCTTCGGCTGAAGAAGACAAATTTGAACATGTCCTGAATACATAAAAATGTGATAAACACACAGAGAGCATGCATGTGTGTGTGTGTGTGTGTGTGTGTGTGTGTGTGAAGCAGCTTGTCACTTTCTTTTACATTTGTCTGTAGCCAAATGGCTAAAGACAAGGTATTGGATAGACTTCAAAAAATTGGATCCTTATTTAAAGTACTTACTTGCTCACAAAGACTATTGAAAAATAATTAGCCATACTATAATGTCTCATGATCTTCATAAGCATTATTAATAGCTTTTCTAATTTTGCACATATGTTAAAATATTTCTTCACTAATAAATATTATAGTGAAAAATATCAAAAGCTTTTTATACCATTCTGGTTTGTTTTTTGTTTTTTTGCCTTTACAGAGAACTGAAGGATTAAAAAAAAGAGAGAGAAAGAAGCACTTTTAGGGTTATCATTGATAACATTAGTGGGATTCAGTAGTTCCCCTGAAGGACCAGTAACAGTTAATCCATCTTAAACTAGTATATACATGCTTTTGTGTGAATAATTTTGCCAGTTGTATCCATTGTTTTCTCTAAACTTCTGTTTTATAAAGTTAGTGCATGTTCTGTCTATTGAACTGTGTTGAAAGAAATAAAATTACATTAAATTATTAGACATTTTTAGGTTAATGAGAGTTAATCAGGAGAGTAATGTTATATGGGCCAATATTAAAACAAACAAACAAAAAAAACCCTAAGTATTTTAAGTTATGTTTAGAAGAAATTCTGAAAAAAATTTCAACAAGAGCAAAACAAGTGGGTATGGGAAGAAAATGTCCAATTGTAAACTTATAATGTAGAAATCATGGTCCTTTGAATGAAAACATAAAAAATATTTTTCTCAAAGGTGTAACTGATTTTAAGGCTAAATCAATAATAAGACACTATATGTTTAATTTATATTAATTAATTCCTATATATACAGAACAATAATCTCTTTTTAAATCCTGATTTTTTATTCTGAAAGAAGCTAACAAATATACATTTGTGCAAAATTGTATAAAATGCTTCTACATGATGCATAATTTTCTATCAGTTTTATTCCTCATGTGTATTTTTGTTAAATAATAATTCATTTTTAATTATGAAAGGTTTATAATATGGAGAAAAAATGAAATGTTTATATATTTACTACCTGGACTTAGCAGACATTAACATTTTTCTCTGCTTCTGGTTGCTTAATTTTATGAAAGAAATAAAACATTACAGATACAATATACTCCCTCCTTGCACTCAAGGGCTATCTTTTGCATACATGCTTTTAAAATTTTTCTACATAGCTAGATATTCCCCAAACAACAAAGATAACTATTTTCTTATCTTAAATTTACCTAGATAATAACAAGCGTTTATTCTTTTGTAACTTTTATTTAAAAATCAGATTATTTTAGGAATACTTTAACAAAAATTTGATTAGCTGTTGTTATTAAAAGTTACTAACCTAATAGTAACTTTCTAATTGGCTGAATAATTATATTAAACTTGTTCAAACATCAACCATATATTTTTATTCATATATGATATATTATGTCTTATGATCAAAGCAAAGTTCATATAAGTACCTTGGCAACACATATAAATCAATTCATTTATATAAAATTGGCCATAATGCAGTATCTAGAGGGAACTTCTTTCCAAATCCCTTCTGAATTTTCTGTCCTTTATTCAGTAACTGTGCTTTTTATTTTAAAGTGAGATTACTGAACAACCAGGAATGAGTCTGATAACTCTCTCACAACACTTGCAGAATTTCAGGTATAATCAGGGAGCTAATATAGTTTTATGATGATGAAAACACTATGCTTATAAAACAGAATAGAAATAAGTAGATATTTGGGCCCTAGATTTAAGCTGAGACAAATGTCTCTGTATGAAATGGACTATTATGGGTTTATCTTCAATTCATTTCAGAAATATACTACAGTAGACCAGTGGACCAGATAATCACATATAGTTGAAAGTGTGAATGATGCAGTGTAGCCATTCATTGCTTTTACATTATGTAGCAGGCAGAAAATTGGTGAGAATTTAAAATGCCTGTAAATAGCAACCTTTTCTGAATAGGTTTCCGGAATGCTTACTAAATAAGACAAGGGAAGCTTGCTACATCAACTGGCTTTCGCATGTCAGCTACAAAAGCACACCTGAACAACAAATTCTGTCTGCATTGAATTTGTGAATTCTATATAATATGCTTTAAAAATTGTAATGCAAATGTTGCCTAGGGCATTTACTACCTGTACTCAGCAACCCATTTTGCATGTCTCTCTTCTTTCTGTTTCTACTTTATTTTGCTATTCATTAATTTCTAAACTCAAAAGATTTATTCCTTAAGAACAATGCCATTATCTGTCTTCATATAAGGACCTTTCTCTGTACCATGTCTCAATCCCCCTACTAAATGAGTTTTATATATTGTACAAACCAGGTCTAGGTCTTTCAATGAGGTGAATGCCCCAATAAGTGTGGCTCATTAAAGTCCAAAAAATGGATTTTATTGAATCACATTAGGAACTTGGGATATGCCAGAGAGCAATGTCAGAGCAAAATAAATTTGAGAACTTTAATTAAGTACACAGTATTTTGTTGGCCTAATCAAACTTTATTTTGCTCAGAGCTGTTTACCCAGGTTTGCAATATAAAGTCCATATTTTCAAAGAGATAAATCTCCATTGGCCTAAATTTACCTAGTGATTTCCAGCTGCTTATTTTACTTCCTGATATGTGGATGTGGTCACAGGGTCATGGAACAAAATTTACCCAAGAGTTGTTGATTCAGCTAAAACAAAAATGCCATGTCAAACCTTCTTTTGCAGTTACTACTTGTCACTGCCAGGAAATCGCTTTTTGAAAGGAGTTCTTAAATTTAATCTCCATTTAATTGAATTAAACACACATATCTAAAAAGAAAGTAAGAGGGGGGGGGAGTTATCTTGTTGCCAAACTGTTAAAACACACACACACACACACACACACACACACACACACACACACAGGATGGATGAACCTTTTAAGGGGAAAATATCTCGACTTCAACATATTTCAAGGACATGGGGCATATTTTTAAGTTAAGAAAGGTTAGACATTTTTATTCTGTCAGACATTCTATTGTTTTCATTACAGACTGAAGAATGAAAGACCATGAGAATATTCAGCTGTACCTGATAAGATTTTTTTTCTTTAGAGATGACCCCAACCTGTGGGAGATGATTTATGAAATCATGATTTTCATTATTGGACTTGGTGCTGACTGTGTTGTTTTTGATTGATGGGCCTATAGTTTTTGTCTCCTTTTGTCTCCAGTAGAGAACAAGGGCATAAGAACACAGCTAGTGGATGGAGGAAATTATGTTAAAGGTGGCAGTATTTGTTGAGAAGTGGTTATAAGGATATGTAAAGCACTCAAATAATTTAAACACTTGATAAAGCATGGACTTTATTTTATGTTTTAAAATAGATTATTATTTTAAAGAAGATTATACAACCTATGTCAGAGAATTCATAAAAGTTTTCATTTGTTGTTGATGAAAATAGTTCTGAAATGCAAGAAAAGAGGCATTTCATTCACTCTGGCATACAAACTGTTCTGACATAGAAGGCCATCTATTATTTTAAAAGCAAACAGATAATACATTTTTCTGTTTTTATAGTAAATATAAGAAAAAAGCCGAAACTGGTTTGGCTCAGTGGATAGAGCATCTGTCTGCGGACTGAAAGGTCCCGGGTTTGATTCCAGTCAAGGGCATGTACCTGGGTTGCGGGCATATCCCCCGTAGGGGATGTGCAAGAGGCAGCTGATTGATGATTCTCTCTCATCAATGTTTCTAACTCTCTGTCCCTCTCCTTTCCTCTCTGTAAAAATCAATAAAATATATTTTTAAAAAAAGAAATAAGAAGTTGTCTTTTTTCTAGTTAATAGTCCTACAGCTCAAATTTCAGGGAATTTCTCATTACATAAATAATATCCACTCTGAAATAACTTATTTCTTATTTTTTTAATAAGTCTAAAGCCTCTTTGTGTATCTGTGTATGTGTGTTCTCTTAAAAAGTCTCAAAATAATATAGGAGAGCCTACAAATGAATGAGAATAAACTTTCACAACAAAGTTTGGGCATAAAGCATTTGTAAATATTGAGGAAGTCTAGCCAGGACTACAGAGAGTGAGAAGCATCTGCATTATCCTTTGAAATATGTCCTAGTTACTTTCAGAGCCTATTCTTATTTAATATTTTGTCCATTCCAAACAAAGCAACTTTTAGAAAAAAGTTGTTTAAAAGCTTCATATATTTTATAAAGTACAAGTCCTTATTCATAATTGATGCAACACATTTATTAATGATTAATAGCTATTCTCTATTAAACATATATAGTCTGAATACAATTCTTTTTATTTTTAATATTTTTATTTCTTGATTTTTTAAAGAGAGAGAGAAATGTTGATTTGTTGGTCCATCCATCTACCTGACTAATCTATACAACCTTGACCATCATCATCATCATCATCATCATCATCACCACCATCATTTATTGAGCACTTATAACATCTCAGACACTATGCAAAGGTTTTGCATCATCATCATCTCATTTAATTCTCATAACAATTCTATAAGGCATGTTTTGACCTTCTGCATTTTAAAGATGAGACAGTTAATACTCAAAGAAGCTAGTAAATGGGGGAATACAAATTTCAATTCTACAATAATTTATAGGATTTCAAGTCAATGAAACTAAATAGGATGTTATAATATATACAATGAAAGATAACTACAATGCAAAACTAATGTATGCATTTCCATTTTTTTTCCATAAAAATATTTAAATGTATGGTGATTGTGTGTTTCATAAATACTTAGGAATCTTAGTGCTACAGAATGACTATCAGAAGTTTTTGGATATTAATCTTGAGGAACACTGGAACATTCAAAGCTCATCACAATTTTAGGTCTCATTGACATCATTTACCCTGCATGTTTATTGAAGGAGTGGTTTTCTTTAATGAGCAAAGGAAGCATTGCTGCAACACATTTTTGGTTTCCAAAAATATTTCATCCATGTTACCATGGATGAAATAATTAACAGCACTTCAATGAGAAATTTCAGAGATCATTAAAAAAGTTTAGTTTAGCATTATGTTTCATCCTTTTAAAAACATAACTATTCTATAAGTAAAGGACATATTATAATATTTTAATAAAATGTTTACCCAATCAAAATATACAATTCAAGCCCAGCTGGCATTGCTCAGTGGTTGAGCATTGACCTATGAATGAGAAGGTTACAGTTTGATTCCTGGTCCAGGTTCATGCCTAAGCTGTGGGTTTGGTCCCCAGTGTGGGGCATACAAGGAAGCAACTGATCAATGATACTCTCTCATTGTTGATGTTTTTATCTCTCTCCCTGTCCTTCCTCTCTAAAATCAATACAAAAATATACAGTTCAAAACTTGACTGCTTTAAAACAGAAACATAAATTATTAGATTCTTGAGCAATAGGTAATGCATGTATTTTTTAAAATGGGGCACAAGGAAATGCAAAATACTCAATAGTTGAATTAAATAAACATTTTATCAGTCTTTATTTGAAAATATATTCTTTTACCTTATAGGCTGTTTGAAAGCTAAATTTTAGCCCATAATATACCCATGTTTACTTTCATAGAGAAATGTAAGTGTGCAGCTCAGTTGCAATTTTTTTTCTTGTAAACTGTAAGTGCCAGAAAGTTATCACTGGGCTCTTGTGTGAATTGCCAAATCAGAATTTACACTGGCCAAAATTAATCAGGCACATACTGCTTTAATTGAGACTTACAACAGAGGAGAGAAACTGAACTGCTAAAACAAAAGGTGGGAAAATTTTAAGCATTGAGGTAAGCTAATGAAAAGTACAGGAGGTCATTGTAGGAAGAGGTTGATCAATGAAGTGAGTCAAACTCATTTAGTTATTCCAGAATTTGCAAATATTTGTTTGTTTGTTTGTTTTCTTTGATTAGACCATCTGTGTTTGCTAATTGTTGCCCATCTAAGGAGTTAGGCTCCCACAGAGACAGGGAGTTAGGAAGGCTAGTTCCTTCTAAGTTTCCATTTCAAAGAGAGGGTTCTTAGGTTCTTGAGAAAGACATTTCCTGAGTTCTAAAACTGGCAAGAGGCTGGAAGAAGATTCACAAACATTTAGAAAGGCAAAAAGAGTATTCACAGTTTCAAATTTTCTAAAGTTAAGTGCTCTAAGTAAAGGGAGTTCAGAGATCAAGTCCAAAAGAAATCTGTCTAACATTTAGTCAACTGAGAACTTTACATTACATATATAATGTAAAGCTCAGTCACATTACATATACAATCCAATTTGATAATCTACTGGCTTCTTTTTTTCTACTATAATATACCTCAACCCTTTTCACACCTAATATTAGGTAGTGATCTTTTTCAACACATACATGTACAAATACTTATTGTAGACTAACTGTAATTCAAACGCCATTATTATTCATTATCTCATTTAGTCCTCACAACATTCTAAGAAGTATTTCTCATCACCACAATTTAACTGTAATAGAAGAGAAGATTAGTTTATAGGGCTTATAAGTAAAGGATCTGGGATTTGAACCAAAGTATTTCTGACTCCAAATAGTAGTTATATTTGGATTACATACCTAATTATTACATACCTAATAATTTCTCAAAAGAAAGTAACTTGGCAGTTTCTTTATTGCAGACATAAACATGTTTTCGTGAAACAGATTGGCTAGCATGACATCTATTACTCAGTCTTGCCATACTGTGTAGGTTAGTGGTATAAATAAGACAATAACCCATAAGGCTAATATGATGGAAGTACTGGGCAATTATATTTAGTGTTGGCTTATTGTGAATATCCATAAGGTGTCAAGACTTCTTGTTTACTGAAAATTATAGTGCTTTGGAATGTTGATTAATTGACTACAAAGTTCTTGGTATTATTGTATGATATCTGTAATTCAAAGTATGTGTCCACTCTTCCATACTGCGATTACCAGTGAGCAATACAATAGTGACGAATTCAGTGTCTGTTATCTGACTAGCTCAGTTTTTAATAAAATGTTTTTGCTAGACAAAGGCTCATGGAAAAGAGAGAAAGCTAATGTGTTTTTGACAGGCATGCAAAATCAGCAGTTATGACATGGGGACATCCAGGCCCACAGCTCACAGATGCTGTACAGAGCAATATATTTATCCTTTGAGCATGTGTCCCTGAGACCAGGATGATGTCAGGTAACCTACTTAGTTTCCTAAAAGTGACAGGTGAGATCTGGTGTACTTTAGATGAAGATCCTCTGCTGCTCTATGATTCAAAACCTTAATTTTTGGTTTTGAATGATGGTCTTTTTTTTTTTTTTTTTTTTTTTTTTTACAGAAAGGAGAACAAAGAAACGCTTTCTGGATATGCCTACACTCAGATGGCAACATATTCTCATTCTGTACCAAAGGTTCATGACTGTTTAAAATTACTTGGGGACCTTTTTAGAATACAGCTACCTAAGCAGCTCTCTAAAAATTCTTACTCAATTGAGTTGGGTGGAGTTTGGGCTTCAGTCGTCTTTGAAATCTTCCTGGGTGATTTTAATATCTAACAGAGTTGAGATCCACTGCTCTATATCTTCATAGTTTATGTAAAAACAAGCCAACAAACCAAACATTAACCTGTCTCTATCAGGTCAAGGGTGTAAAGATGTGGCTAGCAATTCATCATTTCTATGTGAAAACTCATAGTCTTATAGACATTTCAGGTATTGTCAAAAGCAAACCATCTTTTCAAGTATTATGTTCCTTCCTAGAAGCAGATACTATTTATTCCTTCTGAGAAGCAGCTTGTTATAATTAAGGAGCATTTAACTAGTTTTCCAAAGAATAGTACTCTGCCCACAAGCA